CACACACACACACACACACACAAACACAATTTCACAAACACACTCACACACACACACATACACACCCACTCACGTACACACAAACGTACACTCGCACAGACACATGTACACCAAAATATAGAAGCATTGTGCGCAAGTACTATTGTAAGTTTCTTTTCCCAGATCTGAATGCAATGTAATGTCATGCAACCGACAAATTTACAATGATTACAGTCTATTACTTCGTTAACATAAATAAGCAATGATTTCTAACTGTTAGAAGGAAATAAAGAGAAGTGATCAATTTCACTGTATTGATTTGTTTTCGTTTTCACCTCTTCAACCTTCTATAGTGGGTACTATTCAGATTCAGTATTTTATATAATATAGTAAATAATGTTCGATTGTGGATAGTTTTCGATAGTGAGTAATGATGGATATTCGATTTAATCAGTGATAGTGTTCGATAGTGGGTAGTGTTCGATATTTGATGATAACTAGTATTCGATTTCGGGTAATGTCTCTAACCCCACTGACATCTTCAATGACCCTTAACCATTTCTCTCTCCTCCTCCCCCTACCCCCGCCCCCTCCCAAAGGACACAACGGAGCAAGATGAGGTTCGGTATGGATGCTGAGCTTGACGGAGATTCAAGTTAGTGAAGAAAATGAATCATAGATTTTGTTTTTTTATTTGTCTTGTTTTCTTTTCCTGGAAGCTAGGAAGGCTATAACAAGTTTAGCTCATTAACCCTTTCAGCGCTGAGGTGTTTCCATCCATGCTCGTCAATTTTTAAATTCTATTTTGTCATGATATTATAGAGTTATTGGGTATCATCATCATAATATCTGTCTGTGTCAAGTACAGCTGGGCGAAAGATCGACTCCGGAACCGATACCTACGATAAGTGCTACTGAAGAAAAGCTCCGACTCCTTTTAAGTAAACCAACGGTTACCAGTTACTTAAATAATTAGAATCTTTAAAAAAAAATTCATTTGTGAAAAAAAAAAAAGATGCTTCGTAGTGTTCCGAAATCAAGGTTATCCTAAACCCTGAAGACGTTCGGAGCCAACCAGATAACCACCGGAAGAAATCACACAATTAGAAAGTAAGTAATTGGGTTCGGGGTCGATTCCTACGATTCCTAGCTTTCAATAATCGGGAACCTAACCGCCCAGCACTAGTGTCAAGTGATCTGAGCACGTTCATAAAAACGAAACGAAAGCGAAAACAACGACGTTTGATGACGTCATTCTTTGTTATGTCCTCAAAAGTATTTGTCTCTGTCAAGAAGGAATTTGAACTTATTTATAATAAAATACATCAATAAACATGAATTAAACTTACTCCATTTCACCATACTATTGATATCGTTATGATTGTTGAAGACTGGTTGGTAAATAATCTAATTGTTATGATAGAGGCGTTAAACGTATACAATTTCACCATTTCACCACCTCACCGTTCACCATTTCTACAATTTTCACCATTCCACCATTCCACCATTCCACAATTTCCCCATTCCATCATTCTACCGTTTCACCGTTCCAATATTTTTTTTATATCACCACCTCACCACCTCACCATTTCACCATCTCACCACGTCACCATTTCATAATTTCACCATTTCACCATTTCACCATTTCACCATTTCACCACCTCAGGCCTGGCCCCGCCCACAACGGCCGCCGACGCCTCTCGTGAGAAGATCAAGTCGGCTATGTCTCTCTCTCTCTCTCTCTCTCTCTCTCTCTCTCTCTCTCTCTCTCTCC